TGCCACCTTCACAAAGGGGACGGGAGGGGAGGCGCTCCGGGGTGGGCTGTGAGGGGGCCGGGGCCGTAGGGCGGCCCGGTGTGCCCGTGTGGAGGGACCCGGAGGGGGAGAACCGTGTGGATTTGGGGGGGCGTCAGGCAATGGGGGCGTGGTGCCGGGTGTGCGCCCGGAGCGGGGGGTTGGGGGTGGTAGGAAGGGAATGTGCGGGTAAAGCGGGGCTGGTCTGCGGGGAACGGGGACGCGTGGGGAGGCCCCTGCGTTTTTGCGTGGGTGGGAGAAGAAGGGAGGAAAGTTGGTGCGGGGGGGGAGGCTTGCGGGCCGTGGGGCAGGCGAGGCCGCTGTGGGGGGAGCGTGAAGGGGTTTGGGGGGCAGCAGTGGGGACGGGGCTCCCTGTGCCTTAGCACACTCCGTGCGTGGGCTTCTAAATGATTCAGCGTCAGGTCTTCTTCCAGAGAACGTATCTCTTTCTCTTCTGCCTTCTATTTTTCTTTCTTTTTCTTTTTTCTTAGTGTGAACTGAAGGAGGGGTTAAATCACTGCCTCCCTTTCCCTTATGGAACTGAAACTCTTTCTTTAAATGTTCCCTAATACATACATCAATAACAGCCTTTTTTGTTTCTGAATGCCTGCAAGGAAAATGATCTAAAACAAACGCGCATGAGGGTTAGAGGTGGGGGTAAAAGCGCTCTTTCATCTCATTACAGTATGGTTAGAAGAGTTGTCCATGATATGGAGCAAATTTTCCTATTTAAAGGGAATTTTATTCCCTTTATAAGAAATGTTTACATACGCATAAAATAAGAAAACATGTATTATAAGAAGACGTCTTGTTAGAGGCTGTTCTGGGGCTAGATACTTGCTTTGTTCTGTTCTGTATAATTAAGCATTTGACTACATTATAAACTGGATGCTGCATCTCAGTTGACTTTCCTAACGCAAATCTGAGGATCAGTTTTGTTCTGTTCAGTAATCGGATGAGTATTTTATATAAAAAGGAATTCCTCCAGCAGGGGGGGTTGAGGTGCTTACTGTACTCTGAAAATCTCCCGTGACTGTGACTTTGTTAGGCAACTTCCCCAGGATTCTGACAGACCTACCTTCAGTTTTATTCTCCTTGATTTGGGGCAGGAATCTGTTCCAAAATGAGTGGCCCGGTCACAAGATTGTGGGCCGTTCTGGCATAAATCAGATTTACAGTGGGATTCTTAAGTAAATACCCTTCTTTTGAGATATTTCTATATATTATTCGGTGGTTCTGTGAATAGCTCTGAGGTGATAAAATTTTACTGTTCACAAAACATTTTCTGTGTATTTTTATGGCAGTGGAATCTGTGGATAAGAAGGCGGCTGCGTAGGTAGAAGGGAATGACAGTTTGAAGGAGAAGTTTTGTGTTGGGGTGTGAGGGCTGTAGGTGACTAATAAATGTGTGGAGCAAAAGAGCTGTATATGGAAAAACATCTTTGTGTGTGGAAGGAGGCTGAATCTGTGCATGTGTGAACACATCCGTGTAGGATAAGTGCAATATTTGAGTTGGGATCCAGTCTGTGATAACTGGACAACATCTGCCACACGATTTGTCAAAGCTGCTTAATAATCTGCCTAGAAACTAACGCTGCGTGCGTTTGTAATGCTTTGCAGCCCGGAATGATTCACCCATTCTGTATCATATCTCACAAAGTAACTGATGTAACATGAAGAAAATCCAAAACTTGGGGAACTTGAAGAGCAAAGAGTTTTAACTCGCTTGTGTTGTAAATTGTCAGGGTGTTTGACAGACAGTTTGCCTTGGTGGGGTGTGCTACAGAGGGTTTTTTCAGGAAAAAAAGGGAAAAGCTCTACGCTTCGCTTACAAATATTGTGATTCTTCCACATTATAGTAATCACAAGAGAACTGTCCTGTTACTGTTGGGTTTAAGGTCCTGTGATACCAGTGGGGCAGTCAAACTGCTTAGTGGATTTGGGTAATTGACTGCCTTGTTAATAGAGTGGTTGGAGAATGCAAACGCAGTACACGCTTACAGTCTGGTAAATCACTGAATTTCGAACTTGTTGATAAATTATGTCTCTTTTTTTTTTCTTTTCCTCCCTTTCTAAGATATTACGCGTATCTTCAGCAAGCTCAAGCTTTTTACACGTTCCCGTTCCCTCAAATGCTGACCGCGGCGCCCACCATGGAGGTGCTGAGTGAGCAGCCCACTCTGGAGGGCGTCCCGGAGCCAAACATTGCCCAGGAGCCTCCCAAAGGTAGCGTTCCACAGCCTCGGGAATCCATCGGGGAAGAAAAACTATGGGTCTTAAACTTAAACTTCTTTGGACATATTGGATTGCCTTTGCCTGATGCTTTGTGAGGAAGTATTGATTAATTGTATTCTTTAAGTAACATTTTTATCAATTACAAAGATAAGAAGTAAACTCAGGTGACAGTATTCACATTGTTGACAAAATCATCTTGTTGCAGGAAAAGCAGATCTCTGTTTCAATAGATAAAAATATAATTTTTAGCTGATTTCCTAGATTTTGATATGACATCAGTGAAGTTTTCTTCTTTCAGTCTGAATTGGTTTTTTTTTTAATTTCTGCAGAAGTACAGTATATTACTGTTTATTTGAAATATTTTTGTTTAAATGATGGTTTAGGGTGTTGTAGTACTGATGAATAGTTAATTGCTTATACACACTAAGAATTGCATGGTTTTAGAAAGGCTTATTTAAACAAATACGAACAGTGCTGGAAAGTGTCCTGTATGTGACACAAGTGTTGTACTTTATGTGCTTGTACGTTGCTTTTCTTTTCCCCCACTAGGATTTTAAATGCTTAGGCTTTACACTAACCGTGCCAAGAAAAGATCCCTTGTTCTGTTGCTCTTATGCTTGCTCTTTACCACATAAAAAAGGCAGTGATCTCTGCCATGCTTAAATTCTGATTCTATAGCAAATATTCACACACTGAGTTTCATCTTGCTTTTAATATTTAGAGAAGAGGTCAGAGCTCTCTGTGCCAAGGCAACCTATCAGCCAGTTCATGCGATGACATTGCTTGTTTAAGTGTATCCTTTGATAAGCATTTCTTTTTTTTCTCCTTTTTTTTTTTTAGTTGTAGTGCATGGCAGAGGAAATCATAGGAACAGAATCTCCAGTATAAAGTAGTTGGACTGCTCAGTTCCTTCACAGAATTATTCACTACAGTTAGGATGCATCCCAAACACTATATAGTTAGGCTTCTTTTGCAGCTTTGGTATTGGATAAGATGATGTCACCATGAGTATGCTGTTTGACTCCACTTTCAAGTATTTTTGGACGACCGTAATCTTCTGTTATGAAGCTGTTCCCTAATATTTTTGCAAGAATTGGAAGTTGACTAAAGCCTTCAAAGGCAGGGCTCGAAGATTTACCGAATGTGTGTGAAATTGACAGGAGCACATACAGAAGGGAAAGATTTGGAGTCCAGCTACCTGCTCTGATGAAAAAAGTAAAGCTTTTAGGTTTGCCCTCTGAAAGGCTGCCCTGGCATTGTGCATCTCTCATGACTGTGTCAGGTTGGTAGGTACCTGATCAGCATGAGAGTCAGGAGAACATTATACTGCTTCATTTGAAATACTCCAACTTCTCTGAGCTGGTTGTATCTGTGGCATTTTGCCACCACATGAAAAGCCTAATTCTTCAAGGGGTAGGAGAGAAAAGCTGCTTATGTGCCTCACCAAGTCTGCGCCCTTCTAGTC